AAAAAAAATTAAAAATCACATGATTATGTTGTGCTACAGAAAAATATAACTAGAGTACTAAGGCCATTTGAGACCGTTGTTTATGGGGAGACCGAGGAAAGAACTTGTGCTGCAAGCACAGTGGTAAAATGCTACATTTCCTGCAAACATATCTTTTAAAATTATTCAGAGATGGGAGGGAGCAGCCACAAATCTCTTCTCCAACAAAATCTTTCATTTGCCTAATAGATCTCCCTTAGAATCCTCACCTGCCTGATTGCAACCTTCTACCCCTATTCCTATACACAATGACAGCAAGTTTCATCTCTGAGACTCCCATTTGTATCTTTACCCCCCATAAAACAGTTTAAAAAAAAAAGATTTTATTTATTTGGACAGAGAGCGAGAGAGGGAACACAAGCAGGGGGGGTGGGAGAGGGAGAAGCAGGTTCCCTGCTGAGCAGGGAGCCTGATGCGGGGCTCGATCCCAGGACCCTGGGATCATGACCTGAGCTGCAGGCAGACGCCCAACAACTGAGCCACCCAGGTGCACCCCCATAAAACAGTTCTGAAAAGAAACCTAAAACAGTTGTGAAAGAATACCCTACTTAGAATCTACCCTGCTTAGGGAATGGCAGGGTATTACAGAAAGCCATGATTAATTCTCCCTCTTACAGAGGTTTAATGTGTCCTGACCCCAAAGGACTGAAAATCCAAGGTTCAAATACAAAGGGACTAAATGTAGGGGATCCCCATTTGCCACAAAATAGGTGAGCGGTCACCCGGTTGTAAAGCTGGCTGAAAAAATTAGGGCCTCCGAAGAAGAAAAGGAACCAAGGGGACTGGCTGAGGCAAAATAACTTGGATCCTACCTCCTTTGTCTCCTTATGGGCTATGCCATGAACTAGGCATGGGTTTTGGTCCTGGCTCTGACACTGTGATGGTACGAAAAGCATTTACATCCTTTGGACATCTAGGTCTGTTTCCTCATTTTTTAAAAAGATTCTATTTATTTGAGGAGAAAGAGAGCATGAGCTGGGGGAGAGGCAGATGGAGAGGGAAAGCAGACTCCTCGCTGAGTGGATATCCCGATGCGGGGCTCGATCCCAGGAACTGAGCCAAAGGCAGACGCTTAACCGACTGAGCTACCCAGGGGCCCCGTTTCTCTTCATTTCTAAAAGAGGAATTACAACGATTGCTGTGATGAATAAGAGAACATACTGGTACATATAGTGCTTGCTCTGGGGACTATCACACTGGTGGGCCAGACAGATGTAAACCAAAAAGCAGTTGAAGTGCAGAAGAGAAACACAGGGAAGGAACCCAGGAAAAAACAGTGAGTGGGGTGGCCAGGAAGCAGGAGGAAACCAGGAGAGGAGACTCACTGTAGGCGTGAAAGAGGCCACCTGGATTCCCATGTCCATTGGTCACTGGGTTTGCATATGTGATCCTGCTGATAGGAAGCTGGGTGACATCTACCTTAATACTTAACACCAAAATAAGCAGATTGGTCTCACACTTAAAAACTAAGATAATCAGGGGGCGCCTGGGTGGCTCAGTTGGTTAAGCGACTGCCTTCAGCTCAGGTCATGATCCTGGAGTCCCGGGATCGAGTCCCACATCGGGCTCCCTGCTCGGCAGGGAGTCTGCTTCTCCCTCTGACCCTCCCCCCTCTCATGCTCTCTATCTCATTCTCTCTTAAATAAATAAATAAAATCTTAAAAAAAAAAAAAACTAAGATAATCAGACTGGCACTGTTGTGTTGATCCAAAAGATATTTTTTGAGAGTCTGGTCTGGTCATCTACCCTTTTGAATATGGGAAGATTTTAGTGAATGAGCCGATGCAGCCCCCAGATGAGGGCTGATCTGATCAAGTATCAGTGACAAAAGACTGTGAAGAGAAAAACAGACATTTATTTAATGTAATAAGTTTTTTTTTTTTTTTAAGATTTTATTTATTTGACAGACAGCGAGAGAGGGAACACAAGCAGGGGGAGTGGGAGAGGGAGAAGCAGGCTTCCCGCGGAGCAGGGAGCCTGATGTGGGGCTCAATCCCAGGACCCTGGGATCATGACCTGAGCCAAAGGCAGACGCTTAACGACTGAGCCACCCAGGCGCCCTCTCTGTAAGATTTTATTTATTTATTAGAGAGAGAGTGTGTGTGTGTGCTTGCTTGCGTGCACAGAAGTGCACAAGGGGGGTGAGGGGTAAAGGGAGAGGAAGAAACCAACTTCCCCCTGAGCAGGGAGCGCAATGCGGGACTCCATCCCAGGACCCTGAGATCATGACCTGAGCCGAAGGCAGACGCTTAGCGGTCCGAGCCACCCAGGCGCCCCTAAGACAACTTTATTTTAAATTTAAAGTTTTCATAATTTTTTTAAAGTAGGCTCCATGCCCAATTTGGGCTTGAACTCACAACCCTGAGATGGAGAGTCACATGCTCTACCAATTGAGCCAGCCAGGTGCCCCCTCATAATGTTTTTTTTAAAAATCATATCTCATTGAATCTCAGATGCTATAGATTGTGTGTCACACTACTAGTTTATTTTTTAATTTAAATGCAATTAGCCCACATAGAGTACATCATTAGTTTCAGATGTAGTCACACTATTATTCTAGGTAACACTTAAGAAAGAAAGGATGCTGCTAATTAAACTATGACCCAATGCCTTCTCATCTCAGTGGCTGACTGCTTCTCCCTCTCCCCCCTGCTCGCTCACTCTCTCTCAAATAAATAAATAAAATCTTTTTTAAAAAATGATTTGAACTTATAGAAAATTTGAGCTGACTGTATTAGTCCAAATGGCGTCCTGGCCCTTCAGCTTCTCCCAGCTGCCCTGAACATTCTTCCTGGGGTCCTGTGCACAGGGGCTCACTCCCCATGGTGCCCACCCTGAGGGCGCTCTGGATGTCTTCTTCAAGATGGAAGCAGGAGGGGTTAGCCACCAAGTGAGCCTCTGCTCGGGGATGCCCACATAATGTCAGGTGCCTCCCTCCCGACTGCTGGAAATCTGGGAGTCCCACCGGCACCACACAAACCCTCAGGTGTCACAGTCTAGTGCAGGAGGCTCACACATATGTACAAGCACAACAAAAAGAAAGTGAAAGGCGCTGCAGTATGTAGGTTTGAGAATGGAACACTGGATCCAGATGGCCTTGGTTCCAATCCTGGCTCCAGGATTTCCCAGCTGTGTGACCTCTGGTAGGTTGCTAAACCTCTCTGTTTCTCAGGTGCCTCGATTGTAAAATGGAGAACACAATACTATCTCATTAGGTTGTTGTAAGGAGTATTATATGAGTTAATATTTGTGAAGAATTTAGAACAGGTCCTGACATATAATAAATGTACAGTAAATGCTTGCTAGTGAAAAAAATCTGGAGCATTGAATTACAAGTACAGCCCATGGAAGTTTAAGAAGGGACACGGGAAGAAGACATAATGGTCTCCTCACTGTAAAGCAAAGCTGATGCTAGCACTACCCTCCAAAGTTATTTCCTTATATCTTTTTTTAAAAGATTTTATTTATTTATTTATTTGTCAGAGAGAGTGCCCGCACAAGCAGGGGGAACCGCAGGCAGAGGGAGAAGCAGGCTCCCCGCTGAGCAAGGAGCCTGATGCGGGACTGGATCCCAGACCCTGGGATCATGACCTGAGCAGAAGGCAGATGCTTAACCAACTGAGCCACCCAGGCGCCCCTCCTTACATCTTTCTTGAAGTGTGGTCCTATGGCTAAGTCCCCATCCTTTAGCAGGAAACGTGTCCTCTCCCAGACCAGAGCCAGTCCTCTCCAAGGCTACTCATCTAGGATAGCCCTGGGAATGATGTAGAGCCAGAAATGAGGTGAGCAAAGCCCAGCCCCATTCCTCCCACAGGGATCAGACGCTAGCCTCTTGGAGTTGCATGTCCAGGTGTGGTATAACATGAACCCCAGTCATTAATTTTATTTTGCAAATCATTAGCTATAAACGGTCATTTAGAGTGTTTTCCCCCGGTAGTTCGTTCATACCAACCTTGTGCACACAGCTATGTGCACGTGTGAGTGTTTCTTTAGCACACAATCTTACAAGTAGAATTGCTGAGTCAAAGGAGTCACTCAGGCAACAAACACCTAAAGAGTGCCTAGTAAGTGATGGACACCGCTCTAGGTGCTGGGGAGACATCAAGGAACTAAAAGTCACACGTTCGTGGGAGCTGACGTTCCAGTGGAGGAAGTTTCCAGTTTTTATCTTGACAGATGTTGCCACAATGCTGTCCAGTTACCAACACCCTCAGCCCACCCCTGGAGTGGGAGCTTTGAGGCAGGCGGATGGATTCTTTGGCCTTTGCTCTCTGCAAGATCTTCAGGGTCAGGGCTGGGGACGTCCATGTGCAGTGTGTCTGTGTCACGGGGAGACCGGGACGGAAGGGTCCACTGGGGGTGGGGGGGGTGGAGAAGGAGGGAGAGAAATGGTTCACAGGGTCTTTGCGTAGAAGCCTCCTTGATCACACCACTAGGGGGCCTACCGGAGGTAGGGAGGAACAGTCCAAGATAGAACCGTCCCCCCAGGTTCTACCCCTTCAGGAGGTAGAGATGGAACAGTCAGCTCTGGGAGGTACCACTGGGTAGGGGGCGTCTATTCTGGAACAAACCATTGTGTGGGCTGGAGAAGCGCTAAGGGCTGCTACCACCCCCGTGCAAGGGGATTGCACACAAGCCCCCGATGGAGGCAGGAGTGGCACTGCCTTGACCGTCCGCAGCCCCCGCTCATTCTCCCGGTTCCCATCCAAGTCCCAGGTAAGCTCCCATTATAGCACCGAGAACGCCACCTTTCCCAAGCTGCCGTCGCAGCTTCTTCGGCCCCGCCCTTCTTGGTTCTTTGACTTTCAATCGGTGGCTTGCGCGTGCAGGGCCTAGCGATTGGATCCCCGGAGAAGGGAGCGGGCCCCGAGGCTCGTTTTGGGATCTGATTGGTCAACGCGGGCTTTCCCCAATCCCAGGCTTATCCCGTGCGCGGAAGGGACGTCAGCTTCGCCCCCGTCGCGCGCCGAGCCCCAATCGGCCGCTGGTTGGGCGCACGCGCGGTGGTTGCTTGGCAGGAGTTCGAGGCGTGCGGCGTTGGGGCTTTCGTGATGGTGAGCAAGTTCGAATCCCGTGTCCGTGCCTCAGTGTGTTAACTTGTCAAAGGGGCTGAAGGTGGTACTCCTGAAGCAAAATTCAGAGATCACTGGCACGTAGCCATGCTCCCCCTCTTAGTGCAGCGGTGTTGATGGCTGACCTCGTGTGTTCCCCGTTCATCCTGAACTCAGTCACAAGCCCAGCCCCGTCCCCTCGCAGTCATTCTTGCAGTGCTTCCATTCTTCTCTCCACTGCTGAAATTGCATCATCGGAAAAGTCACTTTATTAAGCAGAAATCCTGCCTGGTGGACCGCCCCTGACCCCAGGACCACAGAGCAGGGCTCCTTGGAGGAGCCGGGTCCCCCAGCAATTGGTGCTTGGAATTGGATATTTCGCCGTGTGGGTTTTCTTTTTGCTGTTAATTCCAGAAGTATGTTAAGGACCTGGAACCAGGTTATCTTGAAACCATACTGCAATCTAGTTTTATTTTTTTTTTAAAGATTTTATTTATTTGTCAGAGACCGACAGAGAGAGAGCAAGCAAGGGGAGCGGCAGGCAGAGGGAGAAGCAGGCTCCTCACTGAGCAGGGAGCCCGATGGGGGACTTGATTCCAGGACCCCGGGATCATGACCTGATCGGAAGGCTTAACCCACTGAGCCACCCAGGTGTCCCTGCAATCTAGTTTTAAAAAGCAACATTAAATTTTTTTTTTTTTTTTTTGTGGGCAGCAAAGTTTATTGAACGATAGGGTAATGCTCCTTTAGAGAGAGGGGACCTGAGAGCATTGCTCGCCACATTAATCTTTATCTAAAGGCAACAACAAATGCTTGTGTTCACAACATTACATTTCCAACATTTCCTTTTGTGATGCATAATAAACTGGGGGAAGCTACATAGTCAAAAAATAAAAGTAAACATGAAAGTATGGGACAAAAAAGCAAACTCTAAAAGTGAATGCAAGCATACGCAAATGAACCTAACTCTTGATCAAATTGATAACTCACGGAGACAGTATTCTTCCTGATTACTTTCTCTGGCTGTGTTAATATGGGTCATCACACAGAGGAAGGGCTCCATCTGCCCAGCCTTCAGTACACAATTTTGTTTTCTTTCTGTCAAGATTTCTGAATGCTTCCTGTTTGTTTCAATCAGGATGCTGTCATTTACCTGAAGCCCATTTCTCTAGGACAAGGGCAGACTGGAAAAATAGTCTGTTTATATCAGTTACTTGTCTGAAATTGCCTTGGAGTACAAGAGTCAGAACTCAAAGAACTTGGTAAGAAGGTGGCTGGAGCAGACTCACTCTCCTCTCAGGTACCCTCACCATTCCAGCCCCTGGAGTAGCTCCGGTCACTCTAGCTGCTGAGGGCCATAACCCCAGTGTGGTGCTTGTCATTAGGTCGTTCTTAGAATTCCACACTGATCTCTCTCATTCTATATCAGAGTGACTGCTGAAAAGCCATTATTTATGTAACTGCCTCTACTTATGACTGTCTGTCCTACGGGCTCTTACATGGCTCTAAAATCCCCACATTATACTCCTGTTGTGGTGAATGCATAGGAACGGGACTGTTTACATTGCTATTAGCAGCTGTTAATAGCTGCCCAGACAAACCCAAAAGCCAAAAACCAGCACACCCTGCTGGGATTTTGAGTGGATTGTGTTGAATCTATAGACCAGTCTGGGTAGAATTGATACCTTAACAATACTGAGTCTTCTGATCTATAAACGAGGTATACCTGGCCACTTATTTATGTCTTTAATTTTTCTCAGCAATGTTTTGTAGTTTTCTGTGTATAGGTCTTACATATCTTTTGTCAGAGTTATACCTGAGTATTTCATATTTTTGATGCTACTGTGAGTGGAACTGTTTTTTTTTTTAAGATTTTTATTTATTTATTCATGAGAGACAGAGAGAGAGAGAGGCAGAGGGAGAAGCAGGCTCCCAAGGAGCAGAGAGCCCGATGTAGGACTCGATCCCAGGACCCTGGGATCATGACCTGAGCCGAAGGCAGACGCTCAACCATCTGAGCCACCCAGCGCCCCTGGAACTGTTTTCTTAATTTCATTTTCAAATTTGCTAAAATTTTGTTTAGAATTTTTCATTTCGTTAGCATTTTTATAGCTTCTATTGTATTTTCTACATGGATGATCATATAGATGATCATAAGAACTTTTTGTTTTCCATTGTGGATGTTTTATTTCTTTGTCTTACCTGACTGCAGTGGCTATGACTTCTAGTACAGTATTGAATAGAAGTGGTGAGAGTGGAAATCCCTGTCCTGTTTCTAATGTCAGGGAGAAAACATTCAGTCTTTCACCATTAAGTATGGTGTTAGCTGTGATTTTCCATAGATGCCTATTATCAGGTTGAGGAATGTTTATTCTATTCCTTGTTTGCTGAGAGGTTTTATCAGAAATCAGTGTTGAAGTTTTTAAAATGCTTTTGTCTACCTCTGTTGAAATGATCATATCATTTTTTTTTTCTTTTCATTTGTTAGCATGGTGAAATAACATTGGTTTTCAAATGTTAAACCAGCTCTGCATCTCTGGATTAAACCCTAGCTCCCATGATGTGTTATCCTTTTAATACATTGTTGTATTTGATTTGCTAAAATTTTGTTTAAAAATTTGTGTCTATAATTACAAAAACATTGGTCTGTAGTTTTCTAATGTCTTGGTCTGATTTTTGTATCAGGGTATAATGCCAGCCTCATAGAATGAGTCTGGAAGTATTTTCTCCTCTTCTGTTTTTTTTTTTTTTAATTTATTTATTTGACAGAGAGGTAGAGAGCACAAGTAGGCAGAGCGGCAGGCAGAGGGAAAGGGAGAAGCAGGCTTCCTGCTGAGCGGGGAGCCCGATGCAGGGCTCAATCCCAGGACCCTGGGATCATGACTTGAGCCGAAGGCAGACGCTTAACCGACTGAGCCACCCAGGCACCCCTTCTCTTCTTCTGTTTTAAAGAATTTGCATAGAACTGGTATTTTTTTCCTTCTTAAGTATGTGGTAGAATTCTCCAGTGAAGCCATCTAGTTATTTCTTTTTTAAAAATTTTATTATTTTTGGGTGCCTGGGTGGCTCAGTTGTTAAGTGCCTGCCTTTGGCTCAGGTCATGATCCCAGGGTCCTGGGATTGAGCCCCGCATCAGGCTCCCTGCTCATTGGGAAGCCTGCTTCTCCCTCTCCCACTCCCCCTGCTTGTGTTCCCTCTCTCGCTGTCTCTCTCTCTGTCAAATAAATAAATACATGAAATCTTTAAAAAAATAAATAAAGATTTTATTATTTTTAAGTCATCTCTTACACCCAACATGGAGCTTGAACTCATGACCCTGAGATCAAGAGTCACATGCTCTTCCAACTGAGCCAGCCAGGCGCCCCCCTCCCCTTAAGTATTTGGTAGAATTTGCCAGTGAAGCTATCTAGTTATCTTTTTTTTTTTAAGATTTTATTTATTCGTCAGAGAGAGAGAGAGCGAGAGAGCGCACAAGCAGGGGGAGTGGTAGGCAGAGGGAGAAGCAGGCTTCCCGCAAAGCGGGGAGCCCAATGCGGGGCTCGATCCCAGGACCCTGGGATCATGACCTGAGCTGAAGGCAGACGCTTAACCGACTGAGCCACCCAGGCGTCCCGCTATCTAGTTATCTATTTCTTTTTGAGTGAGCTTGGATAATTTTTTCTTTTGATGAAATTGTCCATTTCATCGAAATTGTCAGATTTATTGGTATAAAGTTAATGTTTCCTTAATTATCCTTCTAATACCTGTAGGACCAGTAGTGACATCACGTCTCTCATTCCTGATGGTGATCATTTGTGCTGTTCTACCTGGTAATTCATTGTTGACTCTTGCCTCCTGGTTGACTTGCCCCAAAGAAGAGGCTCCACGGCCAGTCCTGTAAACTTGCCTGAGGATTTGCTCCATAGTCATGCTGATCATCTGTCTCTCTCTGATCCTCTTGGTACTTGAGAGTGTGAATGGAACTACCTACTGTTCTTATGCTTCCTAAAATTCTAAACTCCTTTGTCCTTTCATCCCAGCTAGAGTATGGGCTCTCTTAAAGCAAGAAAAAGGGTTGGTACCCCCTCTTTTTTTACATCCCTCTGGGTGCAGTGTGATGCAGAGCTGGGTACACAGTAAGTACACAGTGCATAAGTGAGGACTGATCGTCCCCGCCTATAATAGACATTTGGGTTTTTTTTTTTGACATGACTCCATTAATGTCCAAGTTGAAGCTTTTCCCCTCCATAAAAAGCTTCCTGTTTCACAGCAGTTGCAATTGCTTATGAAGACTATTTTGAAGTGTGGGTTGATTTAACTTAAGTCATCATGGTTGCTGAGTGAGAATCACAAAGTTAAGGAGAATTTCAGAGATGACAATATTTTACTTTGAGGGGGTTGGATACAGGGTACAAGACAGAGAACCAGACTTTGCCGCTTTACGTAAGCCTGGTTGAGGAAGTCAAAACTTCAGCTCCCCTCCTGACTCTTTGAGCTGGGCATTGGATTGTGTCCTAACGTTCAGAGATACCCAGTTTCTGAGAAAAGGAGTCTTTTTGAGGTGAGGAGAGGAGACCTGTGTGACATCTGCTCTTGGATTCAGTCAGGGACCCTCTGATGAATCCCCAGGCTGGGGGCTGGGCTGCTGTTAGGAAGCGCGCAGCAAAGCAGGAACTTCTGGTTCCAGTTGGTTCTTGCCAAAAGCCTCAAGACATTTGAAGGAGGTGAGATCTGGCACGCAAAAGAAAAGAGCTTTTGTGCAGCTCAGAGCATGGCACTGAACAAATTGCAGAATAGGCAGCCCCAGAGGAAGGTGCTGCTATCCCAGTGACATCCTGAGAGGCTGGATCCACCTGCAACAGGCCAGGCACCCATTTGGTACAGTTGCGGGGAAGAAAAGATGCATCTGTCATGCTCTCTTCCCTCCCGGAGGGATAAACCACCCCAGGCAAGCACTCTGGAGGTCACCATTTGATCATTTCCACAACCAGGGCTTTGGGAGGACAGAACTGGTTGGTGCTTTT